GTACCCACATAAAAGGAGGGTGAAATAATGACAGGATAAAAAAACACTTTGGACGGATGTAAGTTTGTTCTTTAAAAGCTCTAGCTGGGAGTAGGGCCTGTAAAAATAGTGGATGACTCGGTAAAAGTTTCTCAGGCTGACACTGGTGAATTAACAGTCTCGTAAGTTGCAATTAAAGCTACCAAACGCAGCCGTGAGACGGCGGGACGCTTCCCATGGAGGAAAGTAAGAGTAAAACAAGATAAATAAACAAAAAGCAAAGCAACAATAACGGTGTTGGATGTTGGATGTTGGATGTTGGCTGCAGCCTCGACTTTTTGGACTCTTTAGTTTGAGAAACGCCGACCAGGGAGACCGGACTAGGGGTCGTGAGTCGTGAGAGCTCGAGATTAAAAATATAGCTTAAAATAAAGAATCAAGAGCCAAGAACATGCTCCGTGGAATAACCAACTGCGTGGGCAATATTTACGTGTGGGGATGGGTTTAAACTTTAAGAGGGGTTCCACTGCAGCATCACAACACGTAATTGCAACGCCAGGTACTCTGATTTATTGGGTTATTACTGGTCCGGCAACACAAGAGTTAGCGCTTTTATTTCTTTCGTTTTTTTTATTATTTTTTTTTTTTTAAAGAGATCTACCCGAAGTAGTCAAATTTTTAAAAATTCTTGAAAATTTTTAAATTAAATCTACGTAGTAGATTATTATATTAAATACATTATTCACCTACAATATTGTTTTCATACATAATTCTTCAAAAACAACTCTTTGGAAGTGAGAAGATTTAGCGACCATGCGCCACCTGGCGGAAATTTTTTAAACTACTTTCATAAAAAAATTATATGTGAGTATATATGACCGTCAGGTCTAATATGGGCTTATATCGAGTCATAAAAGATATATTGAGCCACATGTGTTCCCTAATATGGCCAATTTAAATATCAAAAAATTTTTTAATTTATGATTAAAGAGATCCACGCGAAGTAGTCAAATTTTTAAAACTTCCTGTGAATTTGTAAATTAAATCTACGTAGTAGATTATTATATTAGATACATTATTCAACCACAATATTATTTTAATACATAATTCTTCAAAAACAACTCTCTGGAAGTAAGAAGATTTAGCGACCATGCGCCATCTGGTGGAAATTTTTTAAACTACTTGCTATATTTTTTATAAGTCAATTAAATGTTAATAATTATTTAATGAGTGAATTTATCGGAAATTTCCTCAAAAATGTTATTAATTAATTTAAAAATTAATTTTAAGATACATAATAAAAGTATTTCCACGTATAATTTTTTTATAGACATTCTTTACACTCGAAGAGTACTTGGATCTCCTTAATTGTTTAGAAATAAAAGAAAAAAAACAAGAATTTTTGACCAAATGAATCCCCTTTTTTCCGATGACTCCCGAACAAGAGGACTGATGTTTATCAAAAATCCATGAAAGCTGGTAAAAACATTAGGTAGAACTGGCACGTCTAATGTCGTGCCAGTCGTGACTGTTGGTAATATCTTTGGAACGCCCCGTAAGGTTTGTAACACCTACTCCGTGGTTCCCATCAGCCAAGGTCTCTAAGGCATGTCTCGGGTTCCTTGGAAACAATTATCCTCGCAAAGATATAATAACAATGTTAGCATCACTCCAGCAAAACCTAAGCTGAGTTTAAATTTAAACTGAACCCGGCTGGAGCAGCAACCAGCATTGACTTTGCTACCACTAAATGCTTGCAAAAAATTCGCTGTTAAATTTAATATTCTTCAGTGCATGGATGTGATGCACTAAGACGTATTGCCTCATAAATCTATCACCTATGCGACCTCTAACTGCAGCTCGCTACTTTTACTGCCGGAGATTCTTGCAAATGTTTTTCTGTTTCTTGTTTTTCTTAAGGCTGTAAAGTCTTTTGGTAGAGTGTAAAAATTTCATATGGAGAAATTTCTGTTCGAGATCATTCAAAAGTTTGAATTAGAGGCCTGACATGGTTCAGAAAATTTTTTTCTTCAAAATTTCAGTCTTTTTGCAAAATGTTTCGATCTCTTGATTAAAGACAATACCAACTTATTTAAAAAAATACCAAATATTTTTCATCCTACAAATTTTCTCAGTTCAACATAATTTTATTTTCTAAGTAAAAGTAAAATATAAATAGTCAAGCAAAAGTGAATGGAAAAGCTAAGCTGCCTTGATTGCAGATCAGCAATCTAAATTAATGTAAAAAAAGGAAGTTGTCGTCATCGAGAAGCAAGAAGTGGAACCTCGAACCTGTTTGCATCTTTCACCCAAGCTGGATACTGAGAATGGAGCTTAGCTCGGAGAACTAGAAGCGACCTTATTATCATAAGATAATTTTGATCTACAGTCTACAGGGTGGTCATAGAACAGGATCCCATTGAGCGATTTAATTGGTTTTCTAGTTACATTACATACTTGAGTAGATGATTCGTCGCCTCGATTATGATGCAAGGATAAGAGGACACGAGGCCAAGGACCTCGAAATGGATCTCGGTGTGAGATCTCATCCAACATGTAAGACTTAAGATGTGAGTAAGTCTCAGAATATATCGATTGCAGATCAGATATCGATCGTTAAATAAGCCCCCAACAATAAAAACTCGAAAAACTATCTGTATGCTTGGACAACTGGTATTTAGCGGGTCGTTTCTTCTTATCGAGGGTTACAAGTTAAAATTCTCAAGAACTTTACACGGATGATTTGTGATGTCGGTTGTTTATATATCGCGGGCACCATTTTGAGCGCGGTGAGACACCCACGCGATCCAACAGATATGTAAGTCAAAACCACCTACATCTCCGTTTCATTGGCTACAACCTTTTCAGTCTGCCGGTTGCTGGGGAGACGCTTCTTTTTTTTATGCTAACGTTGGAGGATTCGCAGGCTTTTTTTTGGCGATAAAAATTTTTTAATGGTAAATTTTCCAAATTTACTTTTTGAATAAAAAAAATTTTTTTATATTCTCAAAAAAATTGATAAATCACAAAAAAATATTTTTATCTTGTGAAATATTGACATTTTTAAAGATATAAGCTCATCCTGATGTTACACTCATCAAGACTTTTCATTTGAGTACCCACATCAATTATTCATATATTATATATTTATATATATTATATATATGTATATATGAAAAATATATCAAAAATGCAT